TTAATTTTGTCCTCAATCAGATTGTCATTTCAAGATTTCGAACTGGACTCTGGAATGAGGATTTCGCGAGCTATACTTTTTAAGAGAAGCATGAAAAGTGTTAACAAGTAGTTTAATCTTGATATAAATATGTACTAGCTAGTGTCTTTTTGGTTATGGCTTCCAAGTCTTTTTTTTTAACATAAATTACCCAGTTGCAATACTGGGCTCAGTTGTATTCAAAAAGGATCAGTGAGGGGGGCTAGGCCTAACCTCATGAAATACAACTTGGTGATTCCATCACCCAAAAACGAACAACAGAAGAAGAAAAGAAAAACCAGAGGAGATATATATACAGAAGGGGTTCTCCATCTGGGAAAAGCGAAGGATACATCTCGAGCTGACAAAAAAATTAGCTTTGTCGAATTTGGTTCTGATACTTGGCATTTGCCACTTATCCAAGAGGAAATAGCCTTTAGCACATGTAGGAAGTTGTTGATAGTCATGCTATTACCCAAGGTAGAAGCCAGTTTCGCAAGACAATTTGCAACTTGGTTGCCTTCTCTGTAACAATGCTTTACTCTTACATTGGCCTGTTGTATAGTTTGCAGCATTCTCTCAGTCATTTGTTTGATTTTAAGATTGTCGGTGTTTCTATTTATCAATATATTTGCAATCACCATAGAGTCGAGTTCGAGGATAAAATTAGTGTAGCCTTGTAGCTTGCACCATTTTATTCCAAACTCAGCAGCTAGAGCCTCCGCAGTATTGCTGTTATCACACTGGACAGCCTTCGAGAAGGCCATAATAAGATCACCGTTGCTATTCCTTACGATGCCTCCTATGCCAGCTTTGTTGTTTTCTCTGATGTAGCTACCATCGGTATTAATTTGATACATCCCTGATTTGGTGTCGTCCACAACACTTGACTCCAGCTTTGCATCGGTTTCAACTTTTTGATTCTTTGGCAGAGATCTGGCCAAGGGTGGTGGTTGTCCCATCTTGGTATAATCTTCGAAATGGCTCCTTTGATATTCCAGATAGCTTGATGCACCATCATGTTTGGTTGGAATTTCTTCTGATTACCATATTTGCACGATGTCCATTGTTTCCATAGTTCCCAACAAATTGTTAACGGAGCTATTTGAAGGATTAAGTTATGGACCCTGTTCTTTGAGCTTGTTTCCCACCACCTCTTGAATGTGCCCACCGCCGGCTCTATTTGATGCCTTATGCCTAGTGGGTTGCCAATTGTGTTCCATGCTATTTTTGCTGCCTCGCTTCCATTGAATACATGTTCCATAGTCTCAACCTGCGGCAAACAACAACAAGAACATCTAGAAACAATGTTAGTGCCAAATTTACCAATAATATCATCAAAAGGTAGTCGCCTTTTAAGTAACCTCCATGATAGGAAGGAGATTTTAAAAGGTATAGATTTTTGCCAGATCTTACTAATGAAGTTATTCTTCTGCTTTTTCATTCTTACTAAGTCCCAAGCCGATTTATTATTGAAATGTCCATTTTCAGCTAAATTCCATATTGGAAAGTCATTAAGACTTCTGTTGCCAATATCCACCTTAGTAACAATATCCAATATGTGAGGAGGGACAGTGTCTACTAATTTGTTTGTGTCCCAGGTACCTTCATGGATGAAATTTTTAACGAGAAGATTGTGAGATTTACCCTGGCCCTGAACTACCTTGGCCAAAGCACCTTTGCCGTCCAGTTATCCCACCAGAAACTAGAGTTTCCTGCTTGAATTTTCCAAATGATATTCGGTTCAGCTTTGATCCTAGCCTTCGTCAAATCTCTCCAAATGTGAGAGTCAGAGGGGGTGGGAACTTTGGTAACCAAGTGAGCTCTTTTGCAATATTTAGCTTTAAGGAAAGTGGCCAAAAGGGATGGTTGAGTCCTAAATCTCCACCATCTTTTCAGAGAGAGTGTTTCAGTGATATCTTCCATTCTCCTGACCTCCACACCCCCCCTCATCTTTAGATAAGCAAAGATTATTCCAGGAGGACCAGTGATAGTTGTTTTTTCCTTCAGAAGATCCCCAGAAGAAATTGTTGAAGTGTTTTCCCATAAGCTCGATAATGCCTTTGGGAGGGTTCATAGCAGATAAAATGTAGGTAGGCAAGGATTGGAGGACATGTTTGATTAAGGTTATCTTCCCTCCGCAGGAAAGCATCTTCCCCTGCCAATCGTTTAGTCTTTTCACAATTTTGGCTAGCATGCCATCAAAGATGCTAATTTTCTTCCTGCCATTGTATATTGGACATCCGAGATAATTGAAAGGAAAGGGCTTGTCCATATAACCAGAATTTCTTCTGATTCTATTAGTTCTACTAGCAGAGGTGTTCGGAGCAGTAACAAAGAAACTCTTGTCGTTGTTCACTTTTTGACCTGATGCTTGTTCATACCTTCTTATCCGACTCTTAATGAGTTTTATCGAGTTCTTATCACCTCCAGTGAATATCATTATGTCATCGGCATAAGCAAGGTGTGTAATGATAGGACCTCTATGGTCCATGGAGAATGGGGTGAAGTTGTTGTGAGTAGCAAGGTTGTTTAAGGACCTGGACAGTACCTCAGCTCCAATAATGAACATGGGAGGAGATAGCGGGTCACCCTGTTTGAGACCTTGCGAAGATGTGAAGAACCCTTTTCTAGACCTATTAATGATGATAGAATACCACACATCGCTAACTAATCTCCAAATGATATCAATCCAAACTTCTGAAAAACCAAATTTTCTCATGACGGCCATTAGAAAATTCCACGACATTCTATCGTAGGCTTTAGCCATATCCAGCTTGATAACCACATTACCCCCATTGTTGTTCTGCCTTATGTTGTGGACAATTTCTTGTGCTAGTTGCACATTGTCAGTAATCATCCTGCCCTTGACGAAACCACTTTGATTAATGGAAATTATTTTCTCAANAGTTTCGCAAGACAATTTGCAACTTGGTTGCCTTCTCTGTAACAATGCTTTACTCTTACATTGGCCTGTTGTATAGTTTGCAGCATTCTCTCAGTCATTTGTTTGATTTTAAGATTGTCGGTGTTTCTATTTATCAATATATTTGCAATCACCATAGAGTCGAGTTCGAGGATAAAATTAGTGTAGCCTTGTAGCTTGCACCATTTTATTCCAAACTCAGCAGCTAGAGCCTCCGCAGTATTGCTGTTATCACACTGGACAGCCTTCGAGAAGGCCATAATAAGATCACCGTTGCTATTCCTTACGATGCCTCCTATACCTGCTTTGTTGTTTTCTCTGATGTAGCTACCATCGGTATTAACTTTGATACATCCCTGATTTGGTGTCGGCCACAACACTTGACTCCAGCTTTGCATTGGTTTCAACTTTTCGATTCTTTGGCAGAGATCTGGCCAAGGGTGGTGGTTGTCCCATCTTGGTATAATCTTCGAAATGGCTCCTTTGATATTCCAGATAGCTTGATGCACCATCATGTTTGGTTGGAATTTCTTCTGATTACCATATTTGCACGATGTCCATTGTTTCCATAGTTCCCAGCAAATTGTTAACGGAGCTATTTGAAGGATTAAGTTATGGACCCTGTTCTTTGAGCTTGTTTCCCACCATCTCTTGAATGTGTCCACCACCGGCTCTATTTGATGCCTTATGCCCAGTGGGTTGCCAATTGTGTTCCATGCTATTTTTGCTGCCTCGCTTCCATTGAATACATGTTCCATAGTCTCAACCTGCGGCAAACAATAACAAGAACATCTAGAAACAATGTTAGTGCCAAATTTACCAATAATATCATCAAAAGGTAGTCGCCTTTTAAGTAACCTCCATGATAGGAAGGAGATTTTAAAAGGTATAGATTTTTGCGAGATCTTACTAATGAAGTTATTCTTCTGCTTTTTCATTCTTACTAAGTTCCAAGCCGATTTATTATTGAAATGTCCATCTTCAGCTAAATTCCATATTGGAAAGTCATTAAGACTTCTGTTGCCAATATCCACCTTAGTAACATTATCCAACAGGTGAGGAGGGATAGTGTCTACTAATTTGTTTGTGTCCCAGGTACCTTTATGGATGAAATTTTTAACGAGAAGCTTGTGAGATTTACCCTGGCCCTGAACTACCTTGGCCAAAGCACCTTTGCCCGTCCAGTTATCCCACCAGAAACTAGAGTTGCCTGCTTGAATTTTCCAAATGATATTTGGTTCAGCTTTGATCCTAGCCTTCGTCAAATCTCTCCAAATGTGAGAGTCAGAGGGGGTGGGAACTTTGGTAACCAAGTGAGCTCTTTTGCAATATTTAGCTTTAAGGAAAGTGGCCAAAAGGGATGGTTGAGTCCTGAATCTCCACCATCTTTTCAGAGAGAGCCTTTCAGTGATATCTTCCATTCTCCTGACCCCCACACCCCCATCATCTTTAGGTAAGCAAAGATTATTCCAGGAGGACCAGTGATAGTTGTTTTTTCCTTCAGAAGATCCCTAGAAAAAATTGTTGAAGTGTTTTCCCATAAGCTTGATGATGCCTTTGATAGCGGGTCACCCTGTTTGAGACCTTGCGAAGATGTGAAGAAGCCTTTTCTAGACCCATTAATGATGATAGAATACCACACATCGCTAACTAATCTCCAAATGATATCAACCCAAACTTCTGAAAAACCAAATTTTCTCATGACGGCCATTAGAAAATTCCACGACATTCTATTGTAGGCTTTAGCCATATCCAGCTTGCTAATCACATTACCCCCATTGTTGTTCTGCCTTATGTTGTGGACAATTTCTTGTGCTAGTTGAAAATTATCAGTAATCATCCTGCCCTTGACGAAACCACTTTGGTTAATGGAAATTATTTTCTCAAGCATAGGGTTCAGTCGTCTAGAAAGAATCTTAGAAATGATTTTGCTGGTGAAGTTGCTCAGACTAATAGGCCTGAACTCAGAGAAGTTGGTTGGAGAGTCGACTTTGGGGATTAGAATCAGACATGTATGATTATAGAATTTGGTCATGCCTTTGCCATTGAAAAAGTTCTACACAAAGTCTACAATATCATTCTTGATGATATTCCAGCATTTTTGATAGAAGGTGCCATTAAAACCATCAGGTCCTGCTGCACTTGAAGCATTCATACTAAACACGGCATCTCTGATCTCATCCTCGTTAGGTATTGCATTGAACAGATCATTATCTTTCTCAGTGATACATTTAGGAATACAGTTGACGACCTCATGATTACTGAATTGATGCTGAAGGTTAAACAGATGCTTGAAGTGATGCACAACCACCTTTGAAATATTTTCATCCCCTTGGACCCATGAGCCATTATGATCCTTGATCGTGTGAAGATGGAGCCTACATCTCCTGTTTATAATTAAACTATAGAAGTATTTGGTGTTGCTATCCCCTTCTTCATACCATTTCTGCTGCGCTTTCTGTCTAAGGATGGCATCTTGCATACCTAGCCACTTGATGTATTCTGCCTGCCCTTTATTGAGCTCCTCTCTAGATTGATCTGTGTTGTTAAGAATGTCAATCTCTTCCAAGTTTACCATTTTTTCTTCCCATATGTTAACTTGTTCAAAAACATTCCCAATCTTCTCTTTCGACCATCTAGTGAGACTCTTACTAAGAAGTTTCAATTTCTGTTGTAGCCGCCATATGGGGTTTCCAGGAACTTGAGTGCTCCAAATCTCTTCTACCAGGTTCATGAATGATGGCTAGTCATATGAAAGAGAATAAATAAATAAAAAGTAGGTGCGTTTATAAATACATAAATGTCAACCTCAACACTTAAAGAAAAAAATTATTGAAAAAAAATAGTATTCAGAAACCGACGTTTAGAAATAGTGTAGGTAGGATTATTATGGTATCTATTAAACTTTGGTTGGTATGCTAGTTACATTAAATTGGATGGTAGCCTAATGCAGGGGCGAAGCTACATTTGCTTAAGGATGGTCAATTGAACGCCCTTCGTCAAAATTATATTGTATATATAGGTAAAATATTAGATTTTAGTGATATATAATATATATTAAACTCCCTTTATCGGGAATTTTTTATTTCACTTCTGTCAAATTTGAACACTTTTAGAGAAATTCCTCCTTCGCCACCGACATGATGTTAAAGAAAAGCAACAAGTACCAAACCATGTCATATCGCTACAAAGATGTGATCAATCACTAAAACAAATATCCTAAATATTATTAAGATTAAACTTTTTTGGAATTTCAAATCAAAAGGGAAACGGAAAAGAGGAGAGGGAATTTTAATGGTGCTTTTGCACTATTTCTGTGATGACCCAAAAGGTCATCACTTGTTTTTAAATTAAATTCTGCGTTTTGAGGCCTTAAAACCTCTTTTAGCATCACATCGCTTTGTGTGCGCAATCTGGGTGCGTAGCCGGAAAGCCTATATGTAAAAATCTGTGAAAAATGGTAAATATTGACTATAAAATGAATTAATTTGACTTCGGTCAACGTTTTGGATAAAAGGACCCGACCCGTGATTTGACGGTCCCGGAAGGTCCGTAAAAAATATGGGACTTGAGCGTATTCCCGGAATCGAATTCCGAGGTCCCAAGCCCGAGAAATGAATTTTTAAAAAAAATTATTTTCTAGAATTGCTTATAAGGTTTGGAAATGAATTTTGATTAGAACATGTTGGTATCAGGCCCGTATTTTGGTTCCGACGCCCAATAAGGGTCTTATATATGATTTAGGGTAATTCTGTGAAGTTTGGTGAGAAACAGAATCCGTTTGGCGTGATTCGGACCTTAAATGCAAATTTGACGTTTAAAGAAGTTTTGAGAAATTTCATTGATCGTGAGGTTTAATTCGATGTTCATGATGTTATTTGGTGATTTGAGTGCACGAATAAGTCCATAGGATGTTTTTGAGGTTGTGTGTATATTTGGTTTGGAGCCCCAAGGGCTCGGGTGAGTTTTGGATAGGCCGCGGGGTGCATTTTGAACTTAAAAATTTGCTAGTGTGTTTCTCACCTGCAGGCTTCGCATTGTCTCGCAAATGCGAGCTCGCAAATGCGAGCCATCCATCGCAAATGCGAGAAGTGACCTGGCAGCCTTCTTCGCAAATGCGTAGTACCCGTCGCAAATGCGACCCCCGCCCAAAATCTTCTATGATCGCAAATGCGGCCTATATGTCGCAAATGCGGAAGTCGAAAATGCGACCTTCCTTTCGCAAATGCGAAAAATCCAGATTCATTTGCGAACCCTGTTTCGCAATTCCCATATCAGCGGAGGTCGGCGTTCGCAATTGCGAACCCCTGTTCGCAATTCCCACATCTGAGGCCTGCAACCTTTATACTTAGACGATTTTAAACCCATTTTTCACATTCTCTCAGAACATAAGCACACTTAGGCGATTTTTCAAGGATTTATTCTTCTCCAAATTAATTGTAAGTCGTTTTTAACTAACTTTCTTCAATTCTTAATATCTTTTAACATGATTTTAACTTCAAATCAATAATTTCCATGGGGGAAATTGGGTGTTTGGGTAGAACCTAGGTTTTTTTCAAAAATTGGGGATTTGGACCTCGATTTGAGGTCCGATTTCAAAATAAATTATATATTTGAGTTCGTGGGGGGATGGGTGATCGGGTTTTGGTTCGAACCTCAAGTTTTGACCATGTGGGCCCGGGGGCAATTTTTGACTTTTTGGGTAAAACTTTGGAAAACTCATTTTCATGCATTGGGGTTGATTCATTTAGCGTTTATTGATATAATTAAGTAACTTGTGACTAGATACGAGCGAATTGGTGGTGGAATCAAGGGGTAAAGTTATAATTGAATCGTGAATTGTGTTCGTGGCATCGAGGTAAGTATTTGGTCTAACCTTAGCTTGAGGGATTAGGAGTTGTATCTATTTGCTACGTGTTAATTGTGGAGTACTACGTATAGGCATGACGACGAATATTTATACGTCGGTGTCAAGCATGCTCATGAGTCTTGTGTTATAAATTGTTATGACTCTGTTGTGGTTTATTGTGCCTCACATGTTTTTATCATCATTGTTCCCTTGCCGGATGTTTGTTTGATATTATTGTTCCCTTGCCGGGATATTGTTGAGATGTCATTGTTCCCTTGCCGGGATGTTTGTTTGATATTATTGTTCCCTTGCCGGGATATTGTTGAGATATCATTGTTCCCTTGCCGGGATGTTTGCTTCATATTATTGTTTCCTTGATCAGGATTCCTTGTGATTATTGTTGGCTTATAAATGGGAGCGGGTGGTACGCCTACCACAAGATAATTGAAATGGGAGCGGTGGTACGCCTACAACAAGATAATTGAAACGGGAGTGGGTGGTACGCCTACCACAAGATAATTGAAATGGGAGCGGGTGGTACGCCTACCACAAGATAATTGAAATGGGAGCGAGTGGTACGCCTACCACAAGATAATTGAAATAGGAGCGGGTGGTATGCCTACCACAAGATAATTGAAATGGGAGCGGGTGGTACGCCTATCACAAGATATAATAAAATGGGAGCGGGTGGTACGCCTACCACAAGATAAATGAAATAGGAGCGGGTGGCACGCCTTCCACGAGATAAATAAAATGGGAGCGGGTGGCATGCCTGCCACGAGATACATGAAATGGGAGCGGGTGGCACGCCTGCCACGAGATACAGGAAATGGGATCGGGTTGCACGCCTGCAACAAGATGTGAAAAGAAAGTAAAATCTGCCTTTGTTTTCCTTATCCTTGTTAGTAGTTGGATTTGTGGTTCCTTTATAATTCTCTTGATATTTTGCTGTTACCTATTATTCCCCACAGCATGCTCCCCTTCCCATACTTGACTGGTTATCTCTGTATTTCTTTTCCGTTGTATATATTTGAACTGCACAGGTTTATTTGGTAGTCTGGTCCTAGCTTTGTCACTATTTCGCCGAGGTTAGGCTAGGCACTTACCAGCACATAGGGTCGGTTGTGCTGATACTACACTCTGCACTACGTCCAGATCCCGTAGCAACTATCGGACCGTAGCTACCTTCAGTCCACCCGGAGATCCAAGGTAGACCTGCAGGCGTCCGCAGGCCCTGGCGTCTCCCACTATCCCTATTTCCTATTTTATTTTCCTTTTATTTAGAAACAGAGTACTGTTATTTCTTCAGACCTTGTATGTAGCAATCTTAGACCGTCTGTGACACTGTGACACCAGGTTTTGGGTGGTTAAGGCTTAAGTATTTGTAATAGATACAATTTTTATATATGTTATTGTTGTCTTTCGTTGTTATCACGTTATGGCCTTATATTTGTTAAAAAGAAATAATTGGTTAATGAAGTACTTAGATCAAAGGTTTGGCTTTCCTAGCTCATATTAGTAGGCGCCATTACAACTCCCGAGGGTGGGAAATCCGGGTCGTGACAAGTTGGTATCAGAGCTCTAGGTTACACGGGTCTCACACTTCACAGACAAACTTAGTAGAGTCTGAGGGATCGGTACGGAGACGTCTGTATTTATCCCCCAGAGGCTACAGAGTTAGGAAATAACTTCACATCTATTCTTTCCTGTCGTGCGATTTTGTTCTCTCAATGCTAAATTGAAACCTCTACTCTTGTCCCTTCACGAATGGCGAGGTCACGTATCGCTTCTTCAGCCGAGCAGCAGCACAGACCGGTGATAGATCAGCTACGTCTTCGGAGGCTTTGTGGAGGTTGGATAAGTTTCACCAAGCTCTTCACTACTACATTCAGCGGTGCATCTACTGAGGACCCCCAGGATTATCTAGACAGCTGTCATGAGGTTCTCAGGAACATGGGGATAGTTGAGACCAATGGGGTCGATTTTGCCACTTTTTGCTTGTCTAGATTCGCCAAGACTTGGTGGAGAGATTATTGCTTGGCTAGACCAGCCGGATCACCAGCTTTGACTTGGCAGCAGTTCACACTGCTATTTCTGGAGAAGTTCCTCCCCATCACTCAGCGAGAGGCCTATCGGAGGTAGTTTGAGCATCTCCAGCAGGGTTCTATGACTGTTACCCAGTATGAGACCAGATTCATCGACTTGGCTCGTCATGCTCTTATCATACTTCCCACCGAGAGAGAGAGAGGGTGAGGAGGTTCATTGAGGGACTTATCCAGCCTATTCGACTTCAGATGGCTAGGGAGACAGGCAGTGAGATCTCGTTTCAGGAGGCGGCCAATGTGGTCAGGAGAGTGGAGATGGTTCTGTCACAGGGAGGTGGTCATGGGTCGGAAAAGAGGCCCCGTCATTCAGGCAGATTCAGTGGTACCTCGTCTGGAGGTAGGGATACGTATGGTAGAGGCCATCCTCCTAGGCCTTTTCAGTCGGCACTTCAGGTTTCTCACAGTGCTTCAGGTGGCCGTGGTCCTCAGATGCAGCATTCTGATCAGCAGTCCTACAGTGCACCACCAGCTCCTATCAGTGCACCGCCGCTTCAGAGCTTTCAGGGTCGTCAGCCCCAACAGCCGAGGGCTTGTTTTACTTGTGGCGACACAAGGCACATTGCTAGGTATTGCCCTCGAGCACCGAATAGCTCTCAGCATCAGGCTTCCCGTGTCATGGTTCAGGCACCGAGTGTTCCACAGCCCGCCCAGCCAGCTAGAGGTGGGGGTAGAGGTGTTAGAGGTGGAGGTAGAGGTCCCAGAGGTGGAGCTCAGGCCGCTAGAGGTGGAGGCCAGCCAGCGGCAGGCCGTCCCAGAGACGTAGTTCAGGATGGAGGAGCC